AGAAGAAGAGAAAAAAATTGAAAAAAAAAAATTAAATTAACTGCAAGGCTAAAGAATCATGGGGAGAAAGCCATGAGTTCCGTGCTTTGCTTTCTCCTCCTCTGGATTTCCGCTGCTCTCCTTGGTATTGAAACTGCACTCCTCGTACGTGAACTTGGTCCTGGCTGGGTTTCTTGTTGATCTTCTGGGGGAGGGGCCTGTTGTAGTGATTCTCAAGTGTCTTTGCCCCAGGCGGAGTTGCACCGCCCTTACCAGGGGCCGGGCTGAGTAATCCGCTCGGGTTTGCTTTCGGGAGCTTTTGTTCCCTGAGCGCTTTCCGTAGAGTCCGGAGGACGGGAATGAAGATGGCGGCCTCCCAGTCTCCAGCCCGGAGGAGCCGAGAGCTCGGGGTCCCACTCCTCAGTGCGCCCTCAGGGAACAGCGTCCAATTACTCCCGTCTGCCTGGCCTCCGGCCGCGCTCCAAGCTCACCGAGCCTGCGACCGGTTCAAGGTAAGCCCGAGCTGTGAGCTCACTCCTCGGCTCCGTCTCTGTAGCCGGCTTCCCTGTTCTAATACCTGCGAGCTCTGCGACACTCAGACACCCCGATCCTTCTGTGACCCTGCGGGACCTGAGGCCACACTGGCCCCGCGTGGGCTTCACCCCAGTTAAGCCTCTGGAGCGATGTCCCTCAGCGGAACAGACTTTTAAAAGTCCCGATTTTGTGCTCCGTTGCTCCGCCGCTTGCCGGGAGCCGGCCCCTCCCCCCGGGGTCTATCTTCCCGTCCCTTTGGATTCACTTCTCCGCCAGTCCTACCTTTCAGAAAGTGGTTGATTTTCTGTTTCTAGAATTGCTGTTCTTCTTCTCTTCGATCTCCCGTTGGATTTGTAGGTGTTTGCAATCTTTAGATAAGCTATCTAGCTGATCTCCCGCAACCTGAAGTAGTCTCAGCTGCTACTTCTCCGCCATCTTGACTCCTCCCCCTCCCAATAATGTTTTTAATATGAAGGATTATATTGAAGGCTGGTTTCTCTCTTGTCTTAGCAGAAGTCTTATGTTTAGGCTGTTTAGTTAGGTGTAGAATAAAACCAAATCTACCTGAATGAGGGAGAAAATGTGTACATGCACACACACATTTATCTATGTATATGTATATATGTATGTTCACTATTTTTATGTATGTATATGTACACACACACACACACACACACACACACACACAGAGGCATAGTGTGTCTATGGAAAGATACATAAGAACCTGGAGATCATAGCTGCCTCTGTGTGGTTAGGGAAAAGGAATGTGAGGTGACCTTTTTTCTTCACATTTACCTGCTTGTTCCTTTTGATGATTTGGACAGAAGGGCAGGATAAGAGAGACAGTACACTGGGATCAGTTGGGTAGCGATAGCCATGCTCTTATACTCTTATAATGAGGAAATAAGGACCCAAATGACAAAAGAAACTGTAGTTGCTGAAGTCAGAGGAATATTTGCTCGGTCTTGTGATAACCAAATGTGGCAGGGAGGTGGGGTGGCAGTGGGTCCTGAGGGAGTGGTTGGAGGGGAGTAGTCGGAGATGACTCTTTGCTTTCTAGCCCAAGTTAACAAATGTAAGAACAGTGAGTGGATGAAACTGACTTCAGAATGTCAGAGGGAAGAGGGTGGATTGCAAAAGAGTAAGTGGTAGGGGTGGAGGGGGATGAGTTGGAGGCAGCAGTTGTAGTTCCCTTTCCCCCTGAGCACAAACTCATTTATTTATTTATTTATTTATTTATTTATTTATTTTGGTTTGCCAGTTCTTCTTTAATGATGAATATAAAAACTTTTCACATCTAAACTTTCAGCATGGCAAGTAGTTTCTTCTTAAATTTATTGTCTTAAAGTCCTTTTAGTTTCTCAACCCTTTGGGAAGAGTGGGAGATATATGATTAAAATTTCCCTATCTACACAAATTTTACTGTGTTCTTTTTTTAATTTAAATTCAACTAATTAACGTATAATGTATTATTAGTTTCAGAGGTAGAGGTCAGTGATTCATCAGTCTTATATAATACCCAGTGCTCATTACATCATGTGCCAAAAACTCATTTCTATTGACCATATCATGTGCCTTATCACCCACAGCTTCTGGAAAACTCAGTGATGCATTCTCTGGAGGCACCACCTCAGAGGGCTGGTGGTGGGGACTGCAGTGCAGGATGTGGTGTAGGCACTTAATCTGCAACCAGCCAAAGTGTTGTCTCTTCTATGGCTGGGAAACAAAGGGGTAGAAAGAGTGAGGCTTTTGCAAATCTTTCCCCAGCTCTGTCACTTACTAAGTTAGTGACCTTGGGTTAATCACTTTGACCTGTCCATGTCTAGGTTTCCTCATCAGCGAAATGATCATACTATCCCCATACCTGCATTACAGGGTCATTGTGAGGAATAAATGGGATAATGAGTTTAATAGTTTAGAAGAGTCCCTGATACAAGGTGAGTACTAGGAATGTTAACTTTAATAACCTTTCTTGGCTTTTCTTTTCCCAGATTTAGAACATAGAAAATCTAGAGAATTTAACATACAAAGGAGGGATGTTTTTGCCAGAAGCACATTATGTTTCATTCAGTCTTTGAACAAATAGCTTTGAAGTACTCTTAGGTGCCCAAGGATTCATTGGTAAAGAAATTAGATACCTTGGTGCCCTCACAGAGCCTGGAGTTTTCTTTTTTCCAGAATTTTCCTGGGTCTTCTCACATGCCATATATATGCGCTACATGTAGCAATATATGTTAAGTGCATGCTATATGCTAAGTGCATATATATATATATATATATATATATATACATGTATTTACTTTTAGTTCAGGTATAATAGGCATATAACATTCTATGAATTTTAAGTGTACCACATAATAATTTGATATATGTGTATATTGTGAAATGATCGACACAGTAAGTTTAGATAACATCCATCACCACACATAGGTACAAACTTTTTTTTTCTTATGATGAGAACTTTTAAGATTTACTTTTTTGGCAACTTTAGAAATATACAGTATAGTTATATGCATTCATTTTATAATCAAGGTATTTTAAAGAATATTTTACATTAAGCTTTTGTTTAATGCACATATGAGAACATAATTTAAAATTATAGAATTTAAAAAGTTACAAACTGAAAAGCAAGTATCGCTTTCTTAACTCCAAATTTCTCAGTTATCTCCAGAAAGAACCTCCTTTGTTTTTTTATGTCTCATAACTAAGATAAACATTTAGAATCATATAAGCCCCTCTTTCTTATGTAATAGGTAAGGGAAAAGGGAAGAAGAGAGGGTTTGGGATGAGCCAGAGGCCTCTTGCCAAGGTAACCAGAGAATGAGGCTTCCATGGAGAAGTTAAGAGGGAGGAAGTACATTAGGAGGACAGAGGAGGTAATGTCAGACTATAAGGGTTGAGTAGTTCTGTTGAAGTAAAAGCAGAAAATGGAGACTTTTAAATCAATTTAAGAAAAATTTATTTAGAGCTCACTGTATAAAACATGTTAGGAACCAACAAGATGCTTAGAGCCTAATGAAAGCAGAGGCAAGGCACAACACACAAATGGTAATATTAAAAGGCAAGCATGGCTAGCACAGCTGTCTACAATCTTCTAGGTTCCTTTATGTAGAATAAGAAGAAATATTTCTGTGGTTTGGGCCTCCCAAATTTCTTTCTGGGTTTGGACTGAGACTGCTCCATCTGTTAGTGATGCTGCCCTAGAGCCAGGCTTACCCAAATCATTTCTACTGGGCTAGCATAGTCCTCTTGTCCACCCAGTTTTCCCATCGTTGAGAATGACATAGACAGTCCTCAGACACAAATTTGCGAGCCCTACTCTGGGCCAGTTGATCCCTTCCTAGGACACCTGCCAACTATGTTGGCCTCTGGATGATTTGCATTTTGGTCCTCCTAATTCCACTCTAGCTCCTTCTCTCTCAGCCATGAGTTGGAAGAGTCCTAAACCTCCTTCCATTTATCCCATATCAAGATGATAGCTCCTCCTCCCTGGCTCCGCCTCTAGCCAGATGGAACATCACAATAATGGAATATTATCCAAACTTCTCACCAAACACCAGGGATGGTGCTGTCTGTCTTAAGTCCTTTTGGACAGTCTGTTCACTTGTTGCTTTCTGGAGCTAGACAGATAGGACATTCATGTGCATCTCTGTTGGTTAAGAGCTTTCCTTTCCTTTTCTTTTTTTTTTCCTTTCTCTCTTTTGAGTATTGTGATCTATCAATTGGCTCTTGAACACTTGCCCTGGGCCATCATCTCAGTCATTTCTTTCAAGAGGAGAAGTAGGGTTCACAGTGCATGGTGCTTTCCTGCTTTAGCTCTCTGCTAAGACTTACCAGTAGCTTGCTGGGCAGCTGGATCCTCCTCAGATTAGCAGCAGCCCAGATAGAAGTGGCTCGAGGATTCAGAGTGGGTTCTATCTCCATCGTTCCTAATTTTCCAAATTTTGAATTGGTCTGCTCAGTGTTATCATCCCACTAAAACACCGTTTTCCTACTGATCCTCACAGAGCACTGGTAGACTTTTCTCAAGGCACAGTAATTAAAGTACACATGATTAAGGTACACATCTCTTTATGTTTCAAAATATTACTAGCAACACTGTAAAGCCATAACATACATAACTCCCACCCAGACTGAAGAGGTAGTCACTCACAAATATACAAGATGGAATGAGGTGCTGTTTTAGAATTAAGCACAGATAAAAGCCATTATTCTAGTAATTGAGAGTTCTACATAAAACACAATTCATAAAATTAAGAAAAGAAGGCTGAATCTGAAACAAGAGGTGTTAGTCTTAAACATTTGTCCTGAGCCAGGAGCCAGTCAGGTGAGGTTGGGCCACAAGTGTGCTCTGAAATTAAAAGAAGCAGTTAAAATCTGCTACTGGCATTATAGGGAGGCTCTCTCCCTTAGAGAGAGTCCTGGAGCCCCAGCTATTTTTAATGGTAATAATAATAGTAATGGACAAGAAAAAAGGCAAGCCAAAATTTGAAAGTGAACGCATATAAACAACGGATGGTCAGACTTTAATTAAAAATGTGTAGTACTTTGGTCGCCTGAGGTTGTCTTCGAAATGTTAACACACTGGACCTCATCAGATCTTTCAGGTACATGGTATTGTACTCTGGAAAAACAATAACAGAAAAGGAATTGGGTGAGATTTCATAATAGAGCCACTTCCTTTTTCTAGATTTCAGTGAGAGGGCAGAATACAGGAGCCATTGAAATAGCAACCAGGAGAAACAAACTGTTGAAGAGAGAGGTAGAGATGTGCTGTTCTTGCTTCTTTCAATTAACTACCCTTTATTGTCATCTGGATCTGCCCCTGCAGTATGTTGATTACTTGCTGCCTTCTCCCTGCAGGCTCTTCTGGACTATATCTGAACTGAGTCTAGGAGGACAGGCAAGATCTCAGCACCTGCGCTCACCATCCAGGATTCCTAGACTCAGCAGCGTGTGTATTCAGGTAGGCGCTGGGCACTCTGGGGCTGTTGATCCTGGGGTTGTGACTGTATCTTTGTGACCAAGCTCTTGACTTCGGTTTGCCTGACCCTATGGTTGTGTGTCCAGAGCCCTGATATTCTTGAGAGCCCTGCTCCTCAGGGAGGATGGAGGTACAGGTAATCTGATTTCATCATGTTGTGAAAGGACTGATTGCCAGGAATTTTTATGCATTCTTTCATGCATACATTCATTCTTTCAACAAATATTTATTACAATAGCCAAGGTACGGAAACAGCCTAAGTGTCCATTGATAGATGAATGGATAAAAAATTGTGGCATATACATATAATGGAATATGATTCAGCCATAAAAATGAATGAGATTTCACGATTTGTGACATCATGGATGGACTTTGAGAACATTATGATAAGGGAAATAAGTCAGACAGAGAGAGACAAACACCGTGTGATCTCCCTTATATGTGGAATCTAAAAATAAATAATAAAAACCCACTTCATAGACACGCAGAGGAGATTGCTGGTTGCCAGAAGTGGGGGGTGAGGGGTGGGAGAATGGGTGAACTTTTTTTGTTTTTGGTCTGAATAAATTGAATTTAAAAACAACTAAAACTTGGGGTGCCTGGGTGGCTCAGTGGGTTAAGCCTCTGCCTTCGGCTCAGGTCATGATCTGAGGGTCCTGGGATCGAGCCCCACATCGGGCTCTCTGCTCGGCGGGGAGCCTGCTTCCCCTTCTCTCTCTCCTCTCTGCCTACTTATGATCTCTCTCTGTGTGTGTCAAATAAATAAAAAAAATATTTAAAAAAACAAACAACTAAAACTTGAACTCTTAAAGAAAAGCACCTCATCACATTTTGTCTTCTAGGGCCCCTAGTAGTGGACAAAAGAGAACATAAAGAAAAGGATATACATATTTCCCCTGTGCCATATTTAGGATTGCTTATTTGGATTTGATTAGGTAAAGAATCTACAAAGTAAGTAAATAAATGAAAAATAAATAAAAATCCACCAACTTATACTATTGCTCAGCTGAAAGCAAATGTAAGAGAAGCTAAACCTTGATGAATAGCACTTATGTTTCCATGAAACTCTTTTCAATGTGTTATATATTTATCAAACCACTACAGTGCAAATTTTCTGAATAAGTCCTGTTATCTGTAAACCAGGAGATGCCATGAAATTACACCTACAGAAAATTGTTAGTATTATAAAAAGACTACTTTCTATGGATTAAAAAATATCTGCTGCTACAATTTCACAGTAGAAGAAAATTTATTAAGCTCCTACTATATGCCAGGTACTGTGCTAGGTGCTGGCAGCACAACAATAAGCTTAACTGATATGATCTCTACTCTCTATAAAGTTTGGTATAGTTCATAGAGTTTAATGGATAAACTGTATGGATAAACTTTTGTGTAACTGTAATTATGCAAAAATATAAGTATTACCTCGTGTTATGGAGAAAAAGCAGAGGAATCCATATGACACAATAACAGGCTAACATATTCTAGTTTAAAAAAGAGGTGGTTTTTTTTTTTTTAGATGTGCAGTTTGAACCAAGATCTGAAGAATGAGGTAAAAAAGGGGCCAAAGAACATTCTAAGCAGAGGACGCAGCAGATGCAAAGACACTGAAGCTAAAGGGAACATGTTATCACTCCTTACTTATTTACTTGTTCATTCCACACAGGGAGGATTCCCACGAGTCCAGGCACCAGGATAGGTACTGGGGTTACCATGGTGAATAATATACAGCTCATGCACACAACACAGACCCATTTGGTATTAAATTTTTAATTTTCCTTGACTCAGCTTGCCATGCCACTTGAGTCTTGTGTATTGGACATCCTGCCATCCATATATAGCTAGAACATTTCCTTCCAGATCCTAGCTTTCCTTTCTTCTCCATTAGTTCATGTTTGCTGAGGTGTCAGCATGCCTCAGACTTAACTGATGGTCAAGTTAAAGATCCTCTGGAGATGGTACCTATTTCAGCAGTGTTGTAAGGTCAGGACTCACCTTTCCTTGGTCTGTTCGCTCTCTTTTCTCCCCACTTTGTTGGTTTCTGAAAGAGACCAAAACAACTTCAGAAAATGTACTGCCTATAGATAGTAAAAGAGGGGAAGTTTGAAGAGAATTCAAAATCCTAGGACTCCGAGAAAAATCACTGTGTCCTTATACGTGAAACAGATGCTATCTGATGCAACTGAGGTTTTTTGCATCCAAAAACCAAATGCCTTCCTTTATTCACTGTGGAAATACGTTTTTCACTTACAGCTCTATTCTTTACTAAAATAAAAATACTGCTGGGAGGGGTAACACACTTAGTTTTAGCTATCATTTAGTGATTGGAAAGTTTTCAGTCCTTTTCTGAAAGTAAGGTCTAGAAGGAGGAAGAAAAGTAAATCTTGGAAATGTTGATGCCTAAATGGGTGAGTCAGCTGGCACTACCAATATAACACGGGGTGGCATGGATGAGCCCAAGTGGGAAATCTCTAACTGGCTAGACCTCCCAAAGCCCAAGTTGCTATTGGTATGGGCTTACTACTGAAGCAGCTTGGTTGACTGTTGTGAAAAAGTCAACAGTCTTTTTTTGGCTGACTGTTTCTTTTGGTTGACTGTTGTGATGATGGTTTTGTCCAACTCAGAGCCTTGCAGCAAGGGTTGTTAACCTGGGTGTCCATGCAGGACTTTAGGGAGGGAAACAACACCCTTGATGGTTTTGAACACTTACTACCATTGGCAGTTTTCAGGTGTGTGCACATGGGTGTGCTTAAAAATAATCAGCTTTATTGAGGTATAATTAATACACAATAATTTCCTGTATAGATTTTGGTGAGTTAAGCAAATGTATACCCTCACGTAACTACCACCATCACCAAGATATAGAACATTTCTATAAGCCCCAAAAGTTCTCTCCTGCCCCCTTTCAGTCAGTATCTTTCCCCATCCCATCCCCTGATAACTACTGATCTGGTTAATGTCACAATAGTTTTGCATTTTTTAGAATTTTATAATTCTAGGGGCGCCTGGGTGGCTCAGTGGGTTAAAGCCTCTGCCTTCAGCTCAGGTCATGATCTCGGGGTCCTGGGATCGAGCCCCGCATCAGGCTCTCTGCTCGGCGGGGAGCCTGCTTCCTCCTCTCTCTTTCTGCCTACCTGTGATCTCTATCTGTCTAATAAATAAATAAATCTTTTAAAAAAAAAGAATTTTATAATTCTAAATGATCACATATGTGTGGTCGTGTGGTCTTTTTGTGCCCAGTGTCTTTCTCCTAGTATGCTGCTTTTTTTTTTCACCATAGAGATACTTTAATGAAGTGTTTTAGAAAATTCTAAATATTATCTGATTTATACAAGTTTAAAACCTATTGGTAACACAAAACAAGAAAAAACTATATTAAAAATTTAGACAAAAAGCTCAGAAAATGCACCATTTCCTATTATATTCTTCAGGGAAATGCAGTTATTAACTTTATGTTTGGTATTTGATATCACAATGTAATTCTTGACTTAATGTTTGCCAAAAAAATCACTTTGATTGGTTGTCCTCTTCTAAGCTAAGTAACTCCAAAGGGCTAGAATCCAAGATTGATAAAGAGCTTAACAAACTCAACACCCAAAAGACAAATAATCCAGTCAAGAAATGGGCAGAAGATATGAACAGACATTTCTCCAAAGAAGACATACAAATGACCAACAGACACATGAAAAAGTGCTCAATATCACTCATCATCAGGGAAATACAAATCAAAACCACAATGAGATAGCACCTCCCACAGGTCAGAATGGCTAAAATTAACAATACAGGAAACAACAGATGTTGACGAGGGTGTAGAGAAAAGGGAACACTCTTAACACTGTTGGTGGGAATGCAAGCTAGTACAGCCACTCTTGAAGACAGTATGGAGGTAGCATACTGCTTTTGAAATTCATTATCTTGTTGCATGTTACTAGTAGTCTTTCTAGAGCTCGGCAGAATTTCCTTATATGAATATACTACCCTTTATATATTTATCCTTTCACCAACGGATGAAAATTTAGAATGCCATGCTTTCAATATTATGAAGAAAGCTGCTATGAACATTGGTGTGTGTCTTTGTGAGGACATATGTTTTTATTTCTCACGAGTGAATATCTGAGATTGCTGGGTTGTTTAGCAGTACGTGAGAGTTTCAATTGTGTCACATCCTCTCCAGCACTTGATATTTACCAGTCCTTTTAATTTTAGTCATGTTAGTGGGAGTGTAGTGGTCTCTCATTATAGCTTTAACTTGTATTTCCCTAATGACTAATGATGTTGTGACTGTGTGACTGTGCTTATTGGCCATTTGTATATTTTACTCTATGAAGTATGTGTTCGAGTCTTTTGCTCCCAGCCTTTTGTTAAATGGATTGTCTTCTTTACTGGGTAGTAATATATAATTACATCTTATGGATATAAGTCCTATTGAGATATATATTTTGCAAACATTTTCTTCTAGTCTGTGGCTGGCTTGACTTTTAATTTTCTTAACAAAGTCAAAGGGCAAATGTTTTCAATTTAGATGAAGTTCAGTTTATCAATTTTTACTTTTTATGCTATGCTTTATGTTTACTGTGTCCTAAGATCACAACCTAAGATCACAAAGATTTTCTCCAAAATTTTTTTAAGTCTTTTAATTTTAGCTCTTAATTTTAGGTCTGACATCCACTTCAAGTTGTTTTTTATGAGTTGAGATTCATATTTTTCCATGTGCATATCTAGTTGTCCCAAAACCATTGTTGAAAAGACTGGCCTTTTCTCCATAGAATTACCTTGGCTCCTTTGTCCATATCAGCTCACCATGTGATTTTCCTTTTGATTATCCATCTAGTTCCCTTGGTTGGTATGTCTGTGCTTTCACCAATATCACACTGTCTTGGTTATGTAGCAATTTAATAAATCTTTTCTTTTTAAGTTTTTATTTACTTTTAAAACTTCTTTTCAGTGTTCCAAAATTCATTGTGCACCACACCCAGGGCTCCATGCAATCTGAAGGTTTTGGGGAGCAGGGGGGTGGGAGGTTGGTTGAGCCTGGTGGTGGGTATTTAATAAATCTTGAAGTTAGTGGTATAAGTTGTCTGTGTCTGTTCTTGTTTTTCAGAATTGTTTGGCAATTGTATGTCTTCTGCATTTCTATATAACTTTTAGAATTAGCTTTTTAATTTACACTGAAGAGCCTGCCAGGGTTCTGATTGGTATCTCATTGAAACCATAGATCAGGTTGGGCTGAATTGATATCATTTTCTAAAGAGATTTTATTTATTTATTTGACAGAAAGAGAAAGAGAGCAGAAGCAGGGGGAAGGGGCGGAGGGAGAGGGAGAAGCAACTCTGGCAGAGCAGGGAGCCTGAGAGCCAGACTCAGGGCTTGGGGCTTGATCCAACCAGGACCCTGAGATAATGACTTCAGCCGAAGGCAGATGTTTAACCGACTCAGACACCCAGGTGTCCCTGGGCTGAACTGATATCTTAATATCTACTCCTCTGGGGGCCCTAGGTGGCTCAGTGGGTTAAAGCCTCTGCCTTTGCCTCAGGTCATGATCCCAGGGTCCTGGGATTGAGCTCCGCATCGGGCTCTCTGCTTGGTGGGGAGCCTGCTTCCCTCTCTCTCTCTTGCCTGCCTCTCTGCCTACTTGTGATCTCTGTCTGTCAAATAAATAAATAAAATCTTTAAAGAAAAATTCTACTCCTCTAATCCATGAACATGGCATACTTCTCCATATATTTAGGCCTACTTTAATTTCTGTCAACAGTAATGTCTTTTAATTTTTAGTGTATAGGTATTTAACTTCTTTTTAAAAACTTACTCCCAAGGTTTTAATATTATTTGATTCTACTATAAATAGTATTTAAACTTTTTTTCAGTGTCCAAACTGTTTGTGGTGAGTATATAGAAATATAACTGATTTTGTTTTTGTATTTTTTTAATTTGCAACTATTTTTTTAGGAAGGAGGCTGAATATATTTTTGACTTTCCTAGCCATTTACTTCATATATGCAAATTGTTTTTGCAAATGCATTGCTTTTATGTCTTGGGACCTGTATGTTTTTATTGTGTTTTGATCCCATTCTTTCAAGGAAAGAATAGCAATTTTTTTCATGAAATATAACTGATTTTGATTTTGTATATTGACCACAATTGTACCTGGAGACTTAGCTACATGCAGTTTGTTCTTTTTTTAAAAAAGATTTATTTATCTATTTATTTATTTATTTATTTGACAGAGAGAGAGCATAAGCAGCGAGAATGGCAGGCAAAGGGAGAGGGAGAAGCAGGCTCCTTACTGAGCAGGGAGCCTGATGTGGGACTTCATCCCAGGTCATGACCTGAGCTGAAGGCTAATTCTTTTTTTTTTTTTTTTAATTTTTTATTTTTTCAGCATAACCATATTCATTATTTTTGCACCACACCCAGTGCTCCATGCAAGTGAAGGCTAATTCTTAATGGACTGAGATACCCAGGCACCCACACAGTTAGTTCTAATAGTTTTTTTGGATGCCTTAGGCTTTACTACAAACATGGTCATGTTATCTGTGGGTAAAAAAAAAGTTTTACTTCTTCCCTTCCACTATGCATGCCTTTTAGTTTTTTTCCTAGACTGCTTCACTGCCTAGAACCTCCAGTACAATGTTGAGGAAATGTAGTGAGAGTGGTATCCTTGCCTCATTCTTGATCTTATGGGGAAAGCAGTCACTCTTTTATCATTAAATATGGTGCTAACTGAAGGATTTTGGTATATTTCCTTTGTCAGTTGAGGAAATTCCTCTATAGTCCAACTTTTATGAGAGTTTTTCTTTCTTTTTTAAAATTATGAATGGTTATTAATTTTGTCAAATGCTTTTTTTGTATCCGCTGATGTGATTACATGTTTTTGCTTTTTGGTTTGCCAATATGGTGAATTTTATGGTTTGACTTTTGTATATTGAACCTAGCTTATATTCCTGGAATAAACCCCACTTGATCATGATGTGTCATACTTTCAATAGATTGCTAGCTTGTAGTTGGCAATTTTGTTAGGATTTTGCCATCTATTTTCACAAGATATATGTATAGCAAACTTTTCTTGTAATGTCTTTTTCCAGTTTTGGTATCAGGGCTCCCCCCTACTTTTAGGGCAGTCTGGAAACTGACTCCAGGCAGTAAGTTGGGGGCAATCATAGGCTCATCTCATCCTTATCCTTCTTTCAAGGATTACAGTTTTCTACAACTTACTGTCCAATGTCTGAAAATAGTTGTTTCATATTTTGCCTGATTTCTAGTTGTTTACAATAGGAGGGACATTCCTGTAGCAGGTAATCATTCGTGAGAGGAAGAAGATTTTGTCTTCTATGTAATTTTAAAAGAGCCTTAACTGTTGCAAAACTCAGTCTTTTCCTTTACATCTTCTCATAACGTTCATGAATTGAGATGCCCTTTAGGGCCACAGTTAAGTATGATCTTTGTATCCTATAGCAGCTCTCCAGATATTTGAAGGGAACACTTTTCTCCTCCCAAGACTTCTTTTCTGGTTATGGATTCTCAGTTACTTCAACTATTTCTTATTTAACTGAGCTTCTAGACACTTTATAAATCTGGTTAGGTTCTATTTTTATCAAACTTTCTCTTAAAAAAGTCTTACTTCACTGAAAAAATAAAATAAAATTAAAAATACTTATTTATAACTGAATATAGTATTTCAGATGTTTGTAGACCAATATGTAATATTTAAATTGTCTTTTCATACCTATGACAAAATCATCACCATTTCAAAAAAAAAGTTTCTATTTTAAAATGAAGGCAGACAATAATAAGGTAGATTCTAAACTTGTGGATTTGATTACAAATTTAACATTTTGAAGGCCAGATGTGATGATATAATCGACTTCCAGTTTTTAAGTCCTGTTAAAGTCTCTGTCTAAATAGTGGTTAAAATTACTTATTTCAGAAAAAAACACTTGCCCTTTAAGAAACCATTCCTGAAAGAGCTGAGACTCTTCCAGGTTTGGTGGAGGGCAGCAAACTGTAAAAACTGTTGGTTGCTAGGGCTCTATTACATGCAGATTTCAGTCACACAAGACCCAAATGAGGAAGTAAAATCTCAGGAGGAGCTATTTTAGTCTCTCTCCCTGATGGGTAAGCTGATAGGGTAACTTCTGATTGGGAAAAGACTGTAATTCAAGGTTATAATTTCTCATGCCTAATTTGCCCTATTTGACAAATCAAAAAAGAGAAGAGAGATTAGAAACCAGCTAGAATAACTGTGGCATTTCCCTTTTATTCATTTAACAGCCTGACCAGAGTAAATGTGGATGTTTAGGGCATTGAAAAACTGTAATTACTGAACAAACACTGAAAAGGACTTTTGATGCCAAGTTAGTTTGAGGGCTCTCTCCTCTGAGGACCAGATTAATATTGGGCTGGGGGGAAACTCCATTTTTGGAGAAATTCCTACTGGTTATCAGTAAGCTTGTGTGTCTGTGGATGGATCATGACTGCTTCTATGTCTGTTTTAAAGCAGAATTTAGTTCCTTGTTGTTGTATGATTGAGATCCACATTTCCTGGATGGCTCTCAGCTGAGGGCCAGTCACAGATTCTAGAGGCCACCCACATTCTTTGTCCCATGGCCCCTTCCTCCATCTTTGAAGCCAGCAGTGGTGGGTTAAGTCTGCCTCAAGATTTGGATCTCTCCTCCTTCCATGTCTTCTCTCTAACCCAGCCTGGGGAAGGTTCTCTGACTCCTGTGATTAGATGGGACCCACCTGGGTAATCCAGGATAATCTCATCATCTTAAAATCCATTCCTTAAGCACATATGCAAAGTCCCTCTCACCATGTGAGATAACATATACTAGGCTCTGTGAAGAGGAGGTGGATATCTTGGTGAGCACATTATGCAGTACCTCATAGAGAAAATGCCAGAGGTATCCACAAAGCAAGTGCTGACGTTGCTGAATTACAGAACCCATATTTACAAACATATCTACATGGCAGGCTTACTTGGTACATCTTCCTCCTCCAGGGATATCCAGATTCTTCTCTTTGACCAAACTCACTAGCATAAGAGACTCTCTGACCAAACTTTCCTAGCAATATTCTTTATCACATTCTTGGGGGGAGGAGGTCTTATGCTATACTGTCTTGCTAGAGTCTGCCTTTTACCACTCCTAACTCAGTCTGACCATTTCCTATGCATACACACAGCTTCTTGGGCCCCTTTTCAGCTTCTTTCCTGGGTACACACACATCTTCTGTAACTCTCTCTCCTGAATTTTTCTGATTGCCTCTGGGGGAAGAAACATTCTTCCTCTCTCTCCATCCCTTATTATGTTTCATTTGTAAGCTAATCATTCCAATGTGAAAGCAGATTAAGAAACAGCTTATTTCCAAGATAAAGGTGCTTCTGAGCAGTTAGCTAATTCTAAATGGCAATGAGACTGAAAGAAACAGCTGGAAATTCTCACCTTAAAAAGTCAAAGCTTCAATAAATATAATCTGTACATCTGACCCTGTGCTCTGAATTTTACACTTTTATATCATAGAAATCTATTATTATATCAGCACACCCCATATTTTGGCAGTTTGAATATGACTCTACCAGAAGCTTTGTATTCATTTCTTGAAACTGGATAATCTCACCCCAGTTTCTTGTTTTTAAAATATAGCAGGATGAAATGAATGACTGCTAATGCCATCCATCTATTTTCTAGTGGATCTTAAAATCAGTACACTGATCAGAAGCATTACTCATCTGGTGCTTTTTACCAAAGTGAGTAAGATGACCACCTTAATTATTAGCACCAACCAAACTTCTACTACAGGCGTTACCTTACCTTGCGACTTTGCCCAGACCAGCCCAAACCACAAAGAGTCATAAAATTATTATAAAGTCAGGGACCCTTTTGTCCCCCATTGAGCACAGTACCACTTTTATGAGAGTCAGTGAGGAGGCTGCTCAGTGCAGTGCTATTTACAATAGCAAAACTATGGGAAAAACCCAAGTGTCCTACAATGTGGAGTTGGTTAAATAAACCAGGTGTATCCACAAAATGGAGTATCTCACAGCCATTTAAAATGATGCTATAGAATGATAATTGATAGCACTGACAATTTTCTTACTATGCTTAGCACAAGTAACTTAGAAAACAGTACATGTGATAGTATCTAAACTGTGAAAAATAGTCCTTATAATATAAATCCACTTATGGAAAATAACATAGATTACAGAAAAACCTGGAAGATATACACCAAAATGTTGTCTGTATAACCATTTCTTTCTTACTAGTGGAACTATAGATTTTTTTTCAGCATATTTGGTAATGGGTATGTAATATTTGGTAATCGATAAAAGTTAATTATTATTTTTAAAATGTCAGTGGGGAACAATTCATCCCACTCTTTTTTTCTCAGAAACCCAGATTTTAGAAATGAGAAAGGAAGTCTTTGGTCATCTAATCCTCCCCCCTTGCCTGCCTCCCCAAGCTTCCCTGCTTGAACACTGCCAGGTCCATAGCCATTAACATTTAGAAATGTTTTCACGATTTTACTTCATTGAATTTAGTAACTTCATGAAGTGAGGTAGCTAAAGCAAAGAATAATCAGTTTTGTCTGGAAACCAGAAGTACATTTGTAGACCTTAGCTTAGAAATACTACCTTTCCCAGAAATCCAGAACAATGTTGAGTCCCATCTATACGGGCTCCAAACCCCGAGGGAAAACCTTTTCCTCCAACCACTTGCTGACTTTTTGCTAATCTGAGCTCAGCCAATGAGCTCTAGAAGGCAGCTGACCGGAGGTAGGTACGAAATGGCAGTCTGCAGAGGGGACAAGCACTGACTCACCACATTCATGAGAGGGGCCAGGCTGCTTCTTCTTCCTTTTCCTTAGTGTTAGAAAGAACACCAACACCATCCCACACAAAATGACCAACATTACAAGTAGAGCGGCAATCCAGAGGATGGGGTCTCGGGCAGGGGGGGGTTTCGTATGTGCATCTAGAAATGACCACAAGTTTTTAATCAGCCAGGAAGATTGATTATAAAAGGTTTATAATTACTGTCATCTTCATTTATAAGTCAGCATGTCCCCAGGGCTCTGCTGCCAGAGGAGCTTGAAATCCACAATATGAGGCCATAGAAGCCCCAGGCTTAGGGCCTTAGCAGCTTAGAACCAGTGCTTCTGGCCAAATGCCTGGACTAAGCTGTCTTCCCTTCCCAGAGGGTGGGATGACAATGACTGTGATCTAGAAGAAGAAAGCCAACCTGGCCCTTGGTTCTGCTTGTGGGAGTGGTACCCAGGCTGAAGCTTTGAATGTACAGTCATCTGTGCAACACCCTGCTTCCTCAGCCCATGTATAGCCAGGCCCGGGGTCCTGAAGTTTCCCTTGTAATAATTTCTCCATCCACTATCATCTCTAGATCAGGCTCCAGATACACCCCCTTCGAACAAATATAACAGCTGCCTACCTCCAGTTTTGCTTGTTTGTTTTTTCCACTGAGGTCACAGTGGAAGAAACAGGGCTTTCAGAATGTATCACCTACTAGAAAACCTTTGGTATCTCTTCATGCCCTGAGGAATCAGGGTTAGAATCAGTTCCTGAGAGGTCAGGACTTTCTTCCTTGCACGGGGACTTCTAAGTTTCCAGGAAGTTGAAAAACAGACTTTGGGGGGAAAGCTTAGAGCTGAGTGATCCGTTTTAAAGACATTTGCAGGACTCATTCTGATAGTTAATCTCAAATTATAGGAAAATAATACCAGTTGACCTATTAGTTTAGCTGCAGTTTGTGGGCACATACCCGGTTCCTGGGACATTAGGAAAGGAGTTGCTGCATTGCAGGCCATATTCAACCTTTTTTGAGTCTGTCCTAGTTTTATCCCACTTGAGCCTGTTTGACATTCCCAGCAAATGGGGGTTATATTTGATAACATGGAGATTGCTACATTTTGACACCCAAAAAGTAACTTTGCTTCAGGATCTATACTATCTCTGGTCAAGCCATAGAACAGGGATACAGAGAGGCAAGACCTGGCTTCCTGAGGCAGCTGGAGCTGAAATATTTCTGAAGTTGGTGGGAGCTGGGAAGGTTTGGGCAGTAGTTGAGAAACAACAGAAAGGTGAGCCATGATGAAGCTGCAGGGATGGCAAGACCCTATTCATTTGTAGACTGTAGGAGCCAGGGCAGAGGAAACCATGGCAGAAGGTCCCAGGGCATGTCATCTGTGGTGCTGTTGCTGGCTCCAAATAGGATCTGACCCTCAGGGATAGCTTGAGAGAGAAGCTTCTTATTTTCTTTTCTTTTATTTCTTTCTCTCTCTCTCTCTCTTTTTTTTTTTTTTTGGTGGTGGGGGAAGGCTTCTATTAAGCCAAGGGAGGCCACAGTAGAAGAAATCAGGCTTCTGTGTAGCCTATTTACTGGCCTCTCACAGGCAGAGATGTCTTAGCAGAAGGAAATCAGTACCAAGAGTAGAGATTGGCTCACTGGTCAAGCTTGCTGAGAGGGACTGGCTCCAGGGGCTGTCCACAAGAATGTGTCCATAGACCAAGTTATGTTTGAACAATGAGAGAGCAGGAGAAAGAAAACTGTGAGGATAAAGCAAGGAGTGAGCTGGATGCCTTAGGAGAGGGAAAACCAAAGGACCAGAATTAGAGAAGGGGCTAAGGTAAACAGAAGTCACATGTATAGGAAGAGAGGGGTCAGGATCAATAGAAGCAGTGATAGAGGCAGTGCGGGTGCAGAGTGCCTTTATTCCAGGAGAGAAACTTGCAGTTACTTTTCCTCAAATGTGGGGTCTCAAACATGGATGTTCTCCCAGGGTAAAGCCAGGACTTTAAAATGTTAGGCTTCTACAATGTCCACAATAGCCAAACTATGGAAAGAACCTAGATGTCCATCAACAGATGAATGGATAAAGAAGATGTGGTGTGTGTGTGTGTGTGTATATATATATATATATATATATATATATATATAGTGGAATACTATGCAGCCATCAAAAGAAATGAAATCTTGCCATTTGCGACGACGTGGGTGGAACTAGAGGGTATCATGCTTAGCGAAATAAGTCAATCGGAGAAAGACAACTATCATATGATCTCCCTGATGTGAGGAAGTGGAATGCAACGTGGGGGCTTGGAGGGTAGGAAAAGAATAAATGAAACAAGATGCGATCGGGAAGGACTCTTAATCTCACAAAACAAACTGAGGGTTGCTGGGGGGAGGCGGGTAGGGAGGGGGGGTGGGGTTATGGACTTTGGGGAGGGTATGTGCTATGGTGAGTGCTGTGAAGTGTGTAAACCTGGCGATTCACAGACCTGTACCCCTGGGGCTAATAATACATTATATGTTTATAAAAAAATTAAAAAATTATTTTAAAAAATGTTAGGCTTCTATTAGTGGACGCTGTTTAGTTTCAACCCCTTCCTCCAGCTGGACTGGACCCTGTACTATACTATCAACATGCTGCAAAAATTTCTGCTTCTTAGTCCTTCCTTGATACATACGCCCACCACCACCACCTGTACCCATATCAAATACTGTTCATTGATTTTAGTCCTCCCACCTTCTAAGCCAGGATGCTGCCTCAGAATTTTTCTTTCTGTTCAGGAAACCACAAGTCTGATACCTGTCATCTCTTCACCATACTTTTATGTATTTTTTTAAAACTTTTTAAGAAGACTTTATTTATTTGAGAAAGAGTGAGTGAGCGGAAGAGAGAGAGCACAAGTGGGGGTAGGAGCAGAAAGAGAGGGAGAAGCAGATTCTCTGGCTGGGCGGGGAGCTGGACATGGGGCTTGATCCCAGGATCCTGAGATCGTGACCTGAGTTGAAAGCAGACACTTCACGCAGTGAGCCATCCAGGTGGCCCTTCATGCTTTTAAAGCCCAGTTATCTTTTATGATGTTTTAAGGTCCCATTTCCTTTAGGAAGGCTTCTCTGGCCCTTAAGGAACCTGCCTATCTCCAAATGTCTATAAAACTGATTATCAGTTACTCTTGTTTTTAAATTTAGTTGTGTATTTCCGTGGGATATGCTTTAGATCCCAATTCAATCTGTTAAAAATCCAGTTTTTCATGTGTGCACATTCTGTTGGAAGGTACTTGAGGGCAGAGAGCATGTCTTACACATTTTAGGATTCACGTCTACAGCCAACAACATCTAGAGTGACTCTGTACTCAAAGCATGTACCGTATATACGAATGGATGGCTGGAAGGATGGGTGATGATGACTGTGTGTGTTTGTGTGTGTGTGTGTGTGTGTGTGTGTGTATGGAAGAATTCTAGCTGGAGGAATCTTGCATTTTCTGACTTAAACTTCAGAATCTTCTATCCAAAGGTAGCCCAAAAGACTGGGTCAGTTTTGGGGCTAAGAACAGAGTTCCTTAAGTGCAGCCTATGTTCATAGTCTCTGGGACCCTACAGCAACACTCAGATGAAGAGAGAAGCCCTCCAACTTGTTCCTTCCTAATAGTACCACAAAATGGCCCTGTTGGAGGCTTCCTGGCAAGCAGGACACATTGAATGATGTGCCTCAACCATTTGGGTATAATACCTGATGAAAGAAATAAACTTGGGAAGCAGCTTTACCTATATTGTAAGGTAGGGAGTGAAGCTCCATCGTCTCAAGTTTCAGGACACAGGTGATGCTCACATTGCTTGCTCCAGGGACTGAAAAAGACAAGCTGATAGAAACGTTGTAGAGTTCTGTGACATTGTTTTGAGATTTTTTCATGGCAGTATCATACTTAGTAGTCGAATTCTCGGTTTTTAGCTTAAAATACATTTCCTTAGGTGCTGGGTAACCTTCTACAGATGAGCAGGTCAAATTTATGATGCCAGAATTTTCGGTTCTATTAGAAGTTACCATTATTTCAGGTTGACTGAAGTTAGCTGAAAGCAGAATAAAGATACAAAAAAAGAAATCAGTCGATATTTAGATGTGTCCAGAAGACAACTGCAAATAACGGGCTCTGGTCTTGGAGCTTCCTGGGGGCACACTTGGGAGCTTCTGGATATCTAAAGTGTGGGCCTCAGCCCATGGCAAGAGCCACATACAGACCCCACATTTATTTTTCAGGAATGGAGTTTTGGGCCATGCTTATTTCCTGCTTACCCCATTCGGGGTGGGGAGTGCTCTCTGAGTGACAGGAGGGCTGAAATTGAGTCACCAAAGATTCACAGTGAAGTTATTGTTCTGAGGAGTGGAGTTTTGGGACAGAGAAGTAGTCTGACGTTAGAATCCAGCTGTCTCATGGGGTACATTGTAGCTTGCCAGACTAAGGAAGCAGAAAGGGACCAACACTAACAGAGTTCATGGTGTTGGCATGCTCTGGGTCATAACTTCTAGAAACCCAAACAGGATAGTGATAAGTGAGTGGATGGGGATTTTGGATTTAGAAATTCAAAATATTGGTTTTGGGCATGACTGTCAAGCTTTCTTCATCATGTACTATAAGATGAAGGCCAAACCCAGCCATTTTTAGGGAAAATATATGACCTTGATAAACATAGAGCTTTTCTTGCCCTAGTTTGCCATTCAGATTTGATGGCTGTTGGCGGTCACTGGCACCTAGCCCCTTCTGCTAGCAAAATCCTTGCAACTCTTCAAGAGTTACTGTAGTTTTCAGGTTCTACATACTAATTTCTAATTTACTTTATTGTCTCTAAAACCAATGATTTGCATGTCACTTTTCTAAGTTTTCTGTATCAACACACTAATTAAGTACTCTGCTTGTACTTTATGTGGTTTATAGAAAGTGTTACCTCCTTTGGCCTCCTTAACAATATCTGTGAAATCACAGGTTGGATAAGTTAGTTATTGTTTTTCCTAATACGTTAAAATAAATATAAAATTGTTAAAATAAAAAAAATGATAATGTCCCACCTAAAACATACCATGTTCCTCAATAGTATCTGGCCATACCTTGAACACACTTATTTATCACTTGGTTAAATGTTCCAAAAGTCCTGCAGCCTCGTTTGAATCATACAAGGCTTAAAGGGAGGACTCCTCATTCTATTTTTACTTTTGCCTTTTCTTTATTGTATGGCTTCATAATCATTGCTGATCTGCCTTTTCCAGTTTCATCAAAAGTTAATATGAATCTAGTAATCGCACACCTGGGTATCTACCTTAGAGAAATGAAAACTTAGGTTCACACTTGTATATGTTTACAGCAGCTATTTATAATAACCCCAAACAGAAAAAAAAAAAAATCCCAATGTGTTTCTATGGGTTGAGTCGATAAAATAGAATGCTCCTCAGTGATAACAAGGAACAGGTTTTTGATACATGCGACAACTTAGATAAATCTCAAAGGCATTATGTTGAATAAGAGAAGCCAATCTTAAAAGGTGGCTCCATTTATGTGATGTTCTCAAAAAAGATAAGACTCTAGGATGCAAAACAGAGCTTGTGGGTATGAAGAGGGCATGATCACAAAACAATAGCATGAAGAAATTTTTTGGGGGGTGATGGAAATGTTTTGTATCCTATTTATTGTAGTGGTTACATGAATCTATACATATGTTAACAGAACTGTGCATTAAAATAAAAAACAATTTTACTGCATTTTAATTAAGTCTGTAGTGATATTTAGGCTTTTCAAGGCCGGAAAAAAAGAGGAGCTGAATTGTCAGTTTGGGGATTATGTGTGCTGGGTTATTTCCCTTCTGTCTCCCGGGCTTTTGTTGGGCAACCAACAACTCATAAGTAACCTCCAGGAGGTTGAAGGAAAAACCCAAATCAATCAGCTGTCATCTTTGCTAGGAGCTCTAGGCAAAGACTTAGTGGGTAAGAAATCTTGAACCAAAGGGAAAAGATGAATGTAGAAGAGATCTGAAGCCTGTATAGTTATATAAATTTAGTAATGGCCAAATTACCCATTGTTTTCCCTTAGACACATTAACTTTGTTCAGTTAGCTCTAGTTTGTACCCAAAGCAAATTCTTACCGATCCTTCAGAAGCAAACTATAAAAAGTACAAAAGATTTTCAGTTCCCTATCACCGAACCCTGCATTCCCTTCAAATGGATTTCCCAGAAATGGCTGTTTCCTGCCTTCTCTCTACAGGTACCCCCCCACAACTCCTCCTCCGCCTCCCCCAACATTTCTCTGCTCATTGCAGTCCCATCGGAGAAGGCCAGGGATCTGAACATGCCATTGACTACATACCAAGCACTGATAGGTCAGAACTCATGTGATACAAGGGAACCAGTCCTTTGGGCCCTTTACGATGAATGAAACATTGATATGAGCCCTTGTCCTTGATCTGAATGTTGTGGAGTTTCAGCGTCCAATTGTCCTTGTCAAACGTTGTGCGGCCTTTATACTTGGGATGAACATTTTGAGGGTTCTCTTTCCCTCTGAATAGCTCATACAGAACCAGCTTATCCTGGTCCTGCCAAAATACTACCAACTCATCCACGCTTATGTTTTCAGAGTTTATAAAGAGGCATGGCAGTTCTCCAGTCTTGTTGAAATATGCTTGACTCTTCACAGAAGCAGCACCTAAAAAAGGAAAGGTAGAGATTAGGGAAGGAGAAACAAGATGGAAGAAGAAAAAAACAACCCTGTTTCTCTTTATACAGTACCCACATGTTATCTTACCAGTAACGATACTGAAGAACTAGGTATTAAACTCGGGAAAGTGTATACATACTGGCATCTGGAGAATGGGACTTTGTCTCCACTCTGCTGCTAACTAAATGTGGGCCTTGTGCAAACTGCAACTACCATGAGGCTCAGTTTCCTTAATCAGTTTAATGAAAGGCTGGTCTAAGGGTTCCAAGAATCTTTCTAGTACTATGATTCTGTGAATTTAAATCCCATACCAGGGAAAAACAGCAGAGTTAGACAAGGTATCCACCCATCTGTTAACCTTCCTATAACCTGAATACCGATTCTCTTCACTGTAGCTGTTTTAAGCTCCGTTACTTCTATGCCATTACCAAAAGCTCTCCCTTCTCCTCCCCACCTCCTTATTCCTTGGCCTGTTATACTGAAAAGATTTCTCATAATGGTAACAAATTTAATATCTGACCCCCTCGTTAGGCCTTACTAGTTGGGTATCACATTGAGTAATATATTTGAAATTCACATAGTTCCCGTTAGAGAGTTTTCCTCATGAATGCTGCTTCCATGGCCAGCTTGCCCAAGGATGTAAAACAGTTTGGAAATGACACAGTCAACCAAAGCCTCTATTTTCAGTGACCTCTCTAAGCTCTTTCAGGGATCAGAAGGAGAACTGGGCCTTCTGATGGTTGTTTTGGGATTGTGGTGGTCAAAGCCATTTAGCGTACATGAATGAAATGCTGGAAATGATTCATAGATGAGAAGGTGAGGATGTGCTTTTGGAGTATTGGGGAAACCCCAGGTACGAGACATTTGCTCTTCCCAGTATGCATTGCCAATGGAAATTTTTACAACTCCTGGAGGACATGCTGGGAGAGTTCAGAGAAAGGCTTTCACCCCTGAGGACGTATTGAAGTTTGTGGAAGTGATGTGTGCCACCTAACTCCTTAAATGTGATTGATTATAAGGTTTGTAGGACCTGTTCTGGGTCACAGAAATACTGGAGAGTTGGCCAAGAAATTAAATAGTGGTGGGTGAGAAGAGCAGGGTTAGTGGGAAATGCTGTTTCTTAGTTAATATAAAGTTAAATGTTGCCCTGGGGAAAATGTTAGGATGGGTTTTGAATAAAGTTTCATCATTCCAGAATTCAGTGAAGAGTCTTGACACTAAGGGGGAAAGGGGAGTTAGGTTGGTGAGAGAGATGAGAGGAGTTTCCTTTGAGGTGTTCTTTGAGGGCGGTAGGAGAAATTCAATTGATCTAATCAATGGTTTTCTCTTCTAAGAGGGGGTAGGACAAATAACAGTGACACGCACCAGGCAAAATTGAACTGTCCACAGAGTGGCCCAGTGAGAACACATAATCAAGAAGGTTGGTGATGGTTTGAATTCTAAGGGAAGAGGACTCAGGCAACTGTGAGTCAGCACAAGCTCAAATCATTGCCTATTGCATTTTGCTTGCTAGAAGCCTATAAAGCACTTGGCAAGTGTAAAATGCAGCCTATGTATAGGATGTGTTCCAATATTGGAGGACGGTGGGAAAATTTACTGAGTACCTGGAACTGTGAAAGGGGAACAGAGGGAAGGTTTACTGTATTCAGCAATTGCCTTGCAAGGCAATCCTGGGGCTCCTGCTACTTCTTTGCTAAACTCTGAATGATAATGTAAGAGTGCCACCTGCTGTAAAAGCTTCTAGCGGCTTCATCTCTGGGGAAACTCATTCTGGTTTTAGAGCAGATGACCTAAGGGAGAAACCAAACTCAGAGCTGAAAATTCTCCCAGTTCACGAGTCAATGTTATATTATTGCTTACTGGTCAGTTGTACCTTCTGGGACTGGAAATGACTTCACCTTTGGCTTCTTCTCTCTTCTTGATTTATGACTATTTCTCTGCAGAACCTCACAGTATCTTCTTTCCTTCCCACCAACTTTTTCCAGTAACAGACCAGTCCCAAATCTCTGACTTAGGTTCCTCCGCCCAAAGATTATAAGGGCTTTTCCTTACACCCATCTGACTGCCCCACTCCTCACCTACCAATCAAAAGTGTGGTTTGTGTTCTAAAGGCATAGGCATCACCAGGGAGCTGGTCAGAAATGTGGAGTTTCTGTCCCCTCTTCCCCAGCACACCTGCTGTTCAGAATCAGCATTTTAACAATAGCTCAGTTTGAGAAGCTTCAAGCTTTAAGTATCTCTACCTCTGTTTCCAAAGTAGAATAGAGAAAGTAATGATAGGAAAAATTTGTTCCTGTCTCTTCTCCTTCTCCCCTCACTCTGGGGTGGAAATATCACTGAGGTCCATTTTGAGTGGAACTGAAAGTATTTCACAATTTATACTCTTTGGTTCCTCACCAACCACTGCCTTCCATGACATCACTCAGAGCTATACACAGTGCACATCATGCTGATTCCTGATGATGTAGAGAAGATTTATCTCACGGAGGCTTTAGTCCTCCCTTGTGATGGCACCACATCTTAGGTCACCCAGCTCCCGGAATCACTGGGACTCCATTGGTGGGTACCTATTGAGATTCTCTCCCTTGCCCAGGACTTGGGTAATAGAGAAGGTCTGGGTCTAATTATAACTGATTTGTTGCTATGATGATGTCAGGAGCCAGGCACACAAGATCCGTCTAGACAACTCCCTAACCAGATAGAGAAGTTTGTTCCTAAACAATATACTGTTTGCATGTTACACAAAAACTGTAGTCTTCTAACCTTGTGAGATCTCTGACTACCCCTGGGACTTCAGTCTTCCCTGGCCGTTACCCCAAATGCACATCTTATAAATTCAAGAACCATCTTTTCCTCAAGTTACTACAGTCATCCGTACTCATAAATTTTTCCTCTTTTACTAAACTTTCTTCAAAGCTTTACTAGGTCTTCTGGAAATCTCGTTCCATTATAATAAACTCCTCTGTATCTTCCACCTCTCCATCAAATATGTCCCATAAGGTTATGCTTTCGTTGAAATCTGGCCCTACCTAAAGGACAACCCTTGTCCTCAGACACTGCCTGTTTTACCACATTTCACAGAGAACTTGAATAACAACATCCTTCCCATTTTGAGGTGCCTACCTCTCTCACTGCTGGTCGCTACTAATCATTCGTCATTAATTCTCTGTTCACTGAGGATTTTGGCAGTCGACATAAGGTTCTTCTTTCCAGCCAACTATTACTGTCTGTTTGAGCTATTTCAGCATGGATAAATTCACCAACAACCTTGCTTCAAAGTTCTTTGGTCTTTACCATTTCAAAGATCTTCATCCACAGGCTATTTCAGCAGCTCCTGTCCCATGACATAACCTTGAACCTTTTCACCAAGAACAGCTCTAATCCTAAAATCGTAAACCTCAATGTACCCTATCTCTGTCCACAAGATGTCTCCCTCCAAGATTTGCCCTTTATTACTCCACCAACATTTGTTCTTTGACTTCATCAAGACTTCAGCTCTAGTCAGTTTAGCCCCTGTAGTGCAGTGCTTTTCAAAAGGCTTCTCTGCAATATTGGAAATGTTCTATATTTGTGCTGACCAACGTGAGAGTCACCAGACACTGTAGCCATTGAGCACTTGATATGTAGCCAGTGTGACTGAGAAGGTGAAGTTTTAATCTTTTAAATTTTTAATTAATTTAAATTTAAGTGGCCCCATGGAACTAGTGGGATTCATATTAGATAGCACTGCAATAGTATACCTTTCCAATCATTCTGTTGCCAAAAAACTTGCCCCTTTGTGCAGAATTCATCCTAAAAACACTTCACTTTTGATCTACATGCTAGTTCTTATAACTAAATGTTTGAGCAATACTGGAGGAACTTACTCAGTTGTTCAGACTGATGATATCACAAATCTGTTCCCATCCCATTTAATTTGTTCTGTGGGCTGGTTACCCTGCTTACTACCCTCTCCCTTCCTCATCGTAGTTACTTCAGCAATTCCCTTTGCTAATGCTTTTAGTTTCTTTTTCTCTTATAGTCAAACTCCCTGAAAGAGTAAGTAGCAATCGTTGCCTCCACCCCCAGCCTCTGTACCCAACCTTGGCGCCAAAACTTCCCTCACAAAGGTTGTCAGTGACTTCCCACCAGTGCCAAATTCAGAGCTCTTTTCAGACCTCCTGTTATTTGACCACTCTGTTGAATGTCACAGTGTTGGTCTTATCTAATTCCTGAAACTCTCTTCATTCCCATTCTCTGACCTCTTGGTCAGTTTTCTCTGATCACTCCTTAAATGCTATCTCAAGTACCTGTTCTTGATCTTCTCCTTGCTCTCCGCTTTCTCTGGTCTTTCTCTTCTATCCCCCTGGATTCAACTGCTAACTATAAGCTAATAATTCACAGATGCTTATTTCCAGACAATCACTCGCCCTAGAGCTCCAGATATCCATATTCAGCGTTTTGCTGGATACTGCTGTTTATATAGCAACAGATACTCTCTTCCTCCCCTGTCCTCCATCTCAGTGAGATGGTCCCCCACTTGCTGCTGTCAGGACTTATCTGAACCATCTGTAGAAAGGGTCTGCACAGATGTGGCTGAGGAGATGTAAAACTATGATAACCAGAGCTAAACTCTAATATGGGTAAGAAAAGGGTGAGGAGACAATAGGAAGCAAAGAAAAGGGTACCAGAGAAAAAGGGTTTTGTGTTTATCCAGAAATCTTGCAGACATTGTCTTTTAGGTATGACAAAAACTTTTTGCTTGATCAAACTTTATTCAGGCTCCTAATCCACTCCTCATCCATCTGTGCACATCCTTGTAAAACCCAGTTATAGTAGGAACCCTGCTAAGAACCCGGTTTAACCAGAATCCCCAACCTTGCTATCTGATTATGCTTGAATCTAGTCGGTTCCTCATCTTCCACAATCCCCAAGGTGATGTCTGTTTGCCCTGGCCTGTCCTTAGCAAGAATTAACTGGGGTTGGGCAGAATCCCTCCTTATCCTTAT